TTCAGTCTCTGTAATCTTTCATATTCCTTCCTACCATTACCCATTCTGTTTCACTCTTATACTTGTCAAACTCTATTGATTCTCTCCACTCATCTTCTTGTCTACCTCTGTGTGCTATTTGGAACGTGGCAACTGGAACTGCTGCACTTCGGTGCCAAGTTCTATGTTGAATCCAGACAGCTGTTCAAGCACTTTCAAATACTATACTATACGCAATCATTGCTTCACTCAGCTCCCGAGTCCTTATTTGTCAATTGTCCTTTTCACATATCATTAGATTCTGGCTTGTTTAATATCACAGCTTACTGTTTCCTCATTCAGAATGAGAAAAGTTCATTTTAAAACAAGTTACTGTAACAAGGACTAAAATGTTATTCATTTGAACATAGTTGTGTTATCTAAGCTGTTTGGTTTAATTGTGAAGCTTCCCTTGTCCTTGTGAACAACATTTTCAGTTTTCACTTCACATTAAAGCTAGGGGTCGGATAGACATTTTCTCTGACTTTTTTGTGTGCTGTTTCCATCATCCCACATGACATCTCTTTCACCTTATACTCTTTTTCATTATACATTTAGCTCTAATTAACTGTACACTCCGTCAGAGTATTATGCCTTCCATAATCCTCGTGTTTGTCTTAACAATTTGGGCACTTTTCAATCGATTTGTCTAGATTACTTAATTTAATCTGACCTACAGAATTTGTATGTCAATAAAAGCTAGTTACTGACAGACTTTAGTATTAATAATAATAATATTAACAGCTTTATTCCAAACAGTCTTATGGACTTAGAATATGCAGATGACGTAGTCCTGTTAGGGGAGGATGCTGACAAAATTCAGAGTCTTCTGAACACCTTGAGCAGCAATCTTCGTATGTTTGGCATGCGATTCACCCCTACAAAATGTAAGATGCTGCTACAGGACTGGACTACGTCAACTCCTAACTTAGTGATAGGGAGTGAAGTGATAGAACATGTTGACCACTTCACCTATTTGGGAAGTTGTATTAGCACCAACGGACTGATTGGCGATGAAATCTCAGCACGGATCCGAAAAGCTCGAGCTGCTTTCGCTGACTTACACCATCTCTGGCGTAGGCGTGACATCCGGCTATCAACCAAGGGACGTGTGTACTGCTCATCAGTTCGCTCCGTCCTTGTCTATGGCTCTAAAACATGGCCAATACGAGTTGAAGACATGAAAAGGTTGACTGTTTTTGATCATAGATGTGTACGATCTCTTTCTCACGTTAGGTGGTATAATAAGGTAAGTAATGTTGACGTTAGGCGTAGAGTGTTGGGCAGAGAGGGAGAATCAATCGACAAGGCTATAAAGTTACATAGACTGAGATGGCTAGGTCACGTGCTGCGCATGCCTAACCATCGCCTCCCCCGACGGGCATTGCTAGCTGATATAGATGGTGCAGGTTGGAAAAGAGCCAGTGGTGGCCAAACAAAAACATGGCATCAATCCATGAAATCCTTGACAGTTAAACTGAGTCAGGTAGGGAGATGCAGACTTCCGGGTTGGGGCCCTCGGGACTCTAGGAATCAATGGCTGGAGACAATAGGTGACATGGCTCAAAATCGTTGTCAATGGCCAGCGCAGATGTATTCAGTCTCTGTAATCTTTCATATTCCTTCCTACCATTACCCATTCTGTTTCACTCTTATACTTGTCAAACTCTATTGATTCTCTCCACTCATCTTCTTGTCTACCTCTGTGTGCTATTTGGAACGTGGCAACTGGAACTGCTGCACTTCGGTGCCAAGTTCTATGTTGAATCCAGACAGCTGTTCAAGCACTTTCAAATACTATACTATACGCAATCATTGCTTCACTCAGCTCCCGAGTCCTTATTTGTCAATTGTCCTTTTCACATATCATTAGATTCTGGCTTGTTTAATATCACAGCTTACTGTTTCCTCATTCAGAATGAGAAAAGTTCATTTTAAAACAAGTTACTGTAACAAGGACTAAAATGTTATTCATTTGAACATAGTTGTGTTATCTAAGCTGTTTGGTTTAATTGTGAAGCTTCCCTTGTCCTTGTGAACAACATTTTCAGTTTTCACTTCACATTAAAGCTAGGGGTCGGATAGACATTTTCTCTGACTTTTTTGTGTGCTGTTTCCATCATCCCACATGACATCTCTTTCACCTTATACTCTTTTTCATTATACATTTAGCTCTAATTAACTGTACACTCCGTCAGAGTATTATGCCTTCCATAATCCTCGTGTTTGTCTTAACAATTTGGGCACTTTTCAATCGATTTGTCTAGATTACTTAATTTAATCTGACCTACAGAATTTGTATGTCAATAAAAGCTAGTTACTGACAGACTTTAGTATTAATAATAATAATATTAACAGCTTTATTCCAAACAGTCTTATGGACTTAGAATATGCAGATGACGTAGTCCTGTTAGGGGAGGATGCTGACAAAATTCAGAGTCTTCTGAACACCTTGAGCAGCAATCTTCGTATGTTTGGCATGCGATTCACCCCTACAAAATGTAAGATGCTGCTACAGGACTGGACTACGTCAACTCCTAACTTAGTGATAGGGAGTGAAGTGATAGAACATGTTGACCACTTCACCTATTTGGGAAGTTGTATTAGCACCAACGGACTGATTGGCGATGAAATCTCAGCACGGATCCGAAAAGCTCGAGCTGCTTTCGCTGACTTACACCATCTCTGGCGTAGGCGTGACATCCGGCTATCAACCAAGGGACGTGTGTACTGCTCATCAGTTCGCTCCGTCCTTGTCTATGGCTCTAAAACATGGCCAATACGAGTTGAAGACATGAAAAGGTTGACTGTTTTTGATCATAGATGTGTACGATCTCTTTCTCACGTTAGGTGGTATAATAAGGTAAGTAATGTTGACGTTAGGCGTAGAGTGTTGGGCAGAGAGGGAGAATCAATCGACAAGGCTATAAAGTTACATAGACTGAGATGGCTAGGTCACGTGCTGCGCATGCCTAACCATCGCCTCCCCCGACGGGCATTGCTAGCTGATATAGATGGTGCAGGTTGGAAAAGAGCCAGTGGTGGCCAAACAAAAACATGGCATCAATCCATGAAATCCTTGACAGTTAAACTGAGTCAGGTAGGGAGATGCAGACTTCCGGGTTGGGGCCCTCGGGACTCTAGGAATCAATGGCTGGAGACAATAGGTGACATGGCTCAAAATCGTTGTCAATGGCCAGCGCAGATGTATTCAGTCTCTGTAATCTTTCATATTCCTTCCTACCATTACCCATTCTGTTTCACTCTTATACTTGTCAAACTCTATTGATTCTCTCCACTCATCTTCTTGTCTACCTCTGTGTGCTATTTGGAACGTGGCAACTGGAACTGCTGCACTTCGGTGCCAAGTTCTATGTTGAATCCAGACAGACAGACATTCCAAACAGTATTTGTGGTACAGGTATGGAATTTTCAGCGTGCATTACAATATATTGCATCTAATTACCTCATGAATTTTATAAGATTTTAAAATCAAAATGCAACACCCAAAAAAGAAGATAAATGAAAAAATAAATAAAAAAAGAACAGCGTTGCGTTTACATTTTAAACAATGCACCACAGGAAATGAAATATAAAATCGGTGTGTAATAGATGAGAACAACAGTGTAATAGTAATGAGGAAAGGAAAACAAAAACTAATGGGACCATTTGTTAGAGTGTCGCAGTAAGTTGATCGTGTCATACCTAACGGATTTCTCATCACATAACAGCTGTCCCAGATATGGTATTGTGGAGTTTTTGTAATTGGTAGTCCTAGCATATAGCCTCTTATATCTGCTTCTAGTTCTACCAGATGAAATGTAAGGAGACAGCTGCATATAGAGAGGATGTTCGGGGTCTGACAATATTGTATTCGCTAGTTTCTTACACGACATTATATGTCTATCCACAATAGTGTTAACCAATTGGTTTAACGATATCCCACTTGCCCTACTAACGGCTTTTAGTGCCCTCCTCAACAAAGCAAAGTCTTTCTTAAGTAGTCCAGGAAAGATTAATGGGGAACAGTAAAGGGGGATGGGTAGAATACAAGAATTGACAAACTGAGAAAGCAAAGACTGCTTTATGCCAGACTGCCTAGATTTCCTAACGTAGAACGTTAAGCGAAACATCTTTCTGGTAACTAGCAAGATGTGGGAGGACCAGGAAAGATCGGTGAAAAAAATCAGCCCAAGGTACTTGACATTAGATGTATTTTCAACCTCTATGCCGTCAATGATAGTGGGGCCATGTGAGCTAACTAGTTTTTTAGGTCACGTTTACGTCTGAAAGTGAAATTGACTGCCTGACATTTAGACGGATTAAGCTTAAGACCATTTGAGGAGGACCACTGACTAATTTCCAACAGAAAGCTATTTAATTTGGGACAATCTGACTGAGAGTTGACAGGCAGAGAAACAGAGTGGTCATCAGCATACTTAACAAAAGTGGCTACATCAGAATGAGGCAAGTCATGCAAGGAAAAAGAAAACAGAAAAGGAGAAAGAACAGCATCTTGAGGAACACCAGCTAAAGTAAGTGAGGTAGTGGAGGACTTTCCATTGTAGAATACCATTCTAATTCTAGTATTTTAAACAGAATCCTAACTAGTGGTTTTGATATACCTAATACGGTTGTCGGTACAAAAAGACGTAGTTAAGTTATTCAAACACATTAGATTAGCTCTCTCCAAATTCTAGTTCACTGATTATCTTTTATATTGTCAGTGAATTAGTCACCTTTTGTTTATGTTCACACTTAACAGGCTTCTCTCTTATTATTTATGTTCTACACTGACAGTAATGATAATCCACATGTTTTCTGAGGGTAAACCTCCCGCATACATAAGAAACAAAGACAGTTTTACAGAAATCACTGTAGGGTATCAAATTAACATATTTTTACTGTTAGTATACTATTATTAATTTTATTTCTCTCTATTTTATCTTATTATGTATTATTATTATTATCGGTTGCCTCAGACAATGACTAAAGGAATTTCACCTACAACTGCAAATACAATAAGTTATGATCGATGTAACAGTTCATTGAATACAATTCATATGACAACAACTATATCACATTTACAAGTTCACTGTTCACAATTAGATATTATTGGTCTAAATCAAATTCAATGTTCAGTTAGCGGACCACAATACAAAGATATCTTGTTAACAAGACATGTTTATATATTATGTCCTGGTGAGTTATTTTAAATAATTCTTTTTTCCTTATAATATGACGAAGAATTCCCTGACGGTACTTTTATTTTTCACCCAATGGCAGATATTTCTACCTCTGTCAATTTACATGATATTACAACAGTTCTGTTTTAAGTCTAAAAATTCATATTTATGTGCTCATGTTTACTGTGTAAATAACTGTGGATGATAATAACTCGCCATTTTGTCTTCAAATGGTAACAAATATTCAGCTGAACACTTACTTGTGAAGATTTACCTTAAGCGCTCGATTTACAAACAACAGCTTTCGAGTTCGTATCCTGTCCCCACTTAATTCTGCTTGGTTAGTTCAGTAGTATCATCAGCCCCCCCCAAACAGTATCGCATTACCTGGTGCATAGAAATCGAACACCGTAGAAGGGTAGTATTCTATCTGAATAGTATTATTTTGCTATTCATGTAGGATATCTGTAAGCTGTGATAACAATAGCGGTATTATATGAGAATATATGAAGACGTTAATTGGTATGGAAAGCGTATATATATATATATATATATATATATATATATATAAGTTGCACTTCATGTTCTCACCTGTAGTCATAAGGAGAAAAAGAAGAAAGAACCAGTATACGCTTTACTAGTAGTTTAATTTATTCCCCTTAATGAACTTGAGTAAGGCGAGAAAAACAATTTTTGCAGAATAATATGGTACCATCATTTATTTCGTTGGCTTCCCATCATCTGCTTACAGTCTAAATAAATTATTAAGTTTATGTACAGAAAAGTCTTAACATACTTGCAAATTTTTTGTATAACGTCAGTTGACGGAAGCTTCTGTTCTTAGTGAACAGTGCTCAGAAAATTACGCTCATATAGTTTTTGCACAGAGAGTTGAAGTTTGAACAAAGTAAATGTATGCATACAATGGTAAAGGAGTTACGTAATAAGGATGAGAGGTGCGTAAGATGATGAGTAACTAATAAATTGGGTAACCGTGTACTGAGTTCAACTCAAACCATAGAAACAGAGAGACAAGCAAAATTACACTATATCAAAGGAGTATGGTGAAGTTAAAGCCAAAGATTACGTAATCAAAAGAGAGAGAGAATGAAGACATCCAGTTACCACGATGGGCAAGGAAAAACCTGATAACTGATTCTTTCTGAATACATAAATTGGGTTTCAAGCGTTTAATAGAGATTGCTTCTGCAAACTTGAAGAGGATTGTGTGTTGATAATTTCAAAGCATTTTGCGATTTCCGCCTCATGATCAGTTTCAAAGAGACGCCTGATAATGGTATCTGTACATTCTGTACATAAATTTAATAATTTATTTAGGTTGTAAGCAGCTGATGAGAAGCCAACAAGATAAATGATGGTACCATGTTATTCCGCAAAAACTATTGTTCTTGCTTTATTCAAAATAGTTTAGTTGTTAATAATTACGCATTGGATTTAGGAAACATCTTAGATTTGATCTCGGGGGATAAATTAGTTACTGTCTGAGTTTTATAAAGCTGATGAATAGAAATTTCCTTGCGTCTTACAATATATTCCGTTAATTTAACCAATTCTTGATATAAGAAATGAGGCAAAGTTAAACTATCATAGCCAAAATCGCATTGACCTTGAACAGCTATTTAGAACTCAGATACGAAAATGTCGTATAATCGTTGAAAAATGCTCCAAAACATTGAAAACATGATATTACAGCACATAATTGTCGCATATGAGTTGTAAAAATGTCTCTCAGTTGTTAAACAGATGTTCTATACAGAAATTATATCATGCGCTATAGATGCATTCAATCAGGTGACTGCAGGTCATGGTACTTTGAGATCCCTTGATATTTCTGACACTCTCTCCTAATCTACTCCTAACTTTAACCCTAATTCTAACCTTAACCCCATGCCCTAACCTTAAAAGCAATATCTCCACCTAGAAGTATGGATTTGCGGAGAAAGTATCTGGAGAATAATTAGAATACTGTATCTACCCATGTTAAAGCCAAAAAGGCAGGTATGATTTGATTTGGAATGATCTTTCATAGCGTTCCCTGGATCTGACTGGTTCTTGAGGACCTTGACTTTGGCTATGATACTTTAACTTCACCAGAAATGAAAATGAATTTTCATCATTTTGATAAGTCCTTGAAAAATTATTTCCTTAGATTTATCAAGGATATTTCTCGTTTGTTTTTAAAGTTTACACAGACTCAGATTTATTCCTACCACAAACACAATAGCTAACGAACTGCTAAAAATAAATTCACTGGAAGAAGTATTATTTCAACCAAAATACTCATGAACCCACTATTTCTCCAAATGCAGTTATGTCAAACATAACAGTTAACGTATATCTTTATTACTGAACTCATGTTTTCTTTCACCACCAAGTTGGTACAAAGAAGCTGTACTTGCGTCGTCACATTTTAAGATTGGAAATGATTTTGTGAATTATTACATGGCGTTTAATTCTACATAAGTTGCACCGCTGGTGGACTCAATCTCGAATGAGCGAAACAGCCGTTTAGCATTTCAGTCATTTCGATCTGACTAGGAAGTACTACTGGTTGAATTGGCAGAAGTTAGAATTCAAGGACCATTGGATCGGGTCCCAGTGGCCTAATGGTATACGAGCTCGCCTTGTAACCGGAAGGTCCTGGGTTCTAATCCCCGGTAGGTGCGTACTGATGAAGAGTCGAAAACTAGGACGAAACAGCTGTCCAGTACTCCCAGGTTTTCCAATGGTTCTCTAACTAATGTCAGCTCATGATGAAATCCTGAAACCAGTCAACTCCCCACCAACCAACAACTGAATAAAAATTGTTGTTATTTCGCCTCTTGAAATGAATAATTTGTAAATCACGAATTCAATACTCCATACTGCCAGTCCATCCAACTAGCTAGCGGGGATTAAGCTGGTCTAACCTATTCGGTCAAACAAACTGCCCTGTCTGATGCCCTAGATCACTTCAGTCTGGTTAACAGAAGCTCTGGTGTTTGACGTGAGTGCTTTTCGAGTTATGTATATCAGATAATAGTTACTTATTAGATAATACTGTTTCACTGTGTGATATATCTAATAAACAAACTAATATGAAAGTAGCTACTTAGTGTTTGTCAAATATGATATAGGAACTAGTTTATAATTAGCCATTGTTTGTTTGATAATTTAGATATCCTGTGACATTATTTACATTAGTAAAAAATTGTTTTATTATGCTACTTAAATGGTTGTTTGTATTATTAGCTCTAAAACTGGGTTGTATAAATATTTTCCAAAATGTTGCTATCTAACTTATGTCATAAATTTATTCGGCAACACCTTTGTACAGCAGTCGTCAGATAGGAAGGAAACAAAACACACATTGTTTTTAGCAGCATTCAACTACATTTTGGACAATTTAATGTTGAATAGATTAACAGTGTGTGCATACCATTCACAACCTTAAACAATGACTTCGATGAGTTTTAGCAAAACTTTGACCGATAACTAGGTCTACTGTTTGTTTGTTATGTCTGTTTTCCAATGGAATCAGGGTAGATATTTATTTGGACATATCAGTTATAGCCTTTTTCATTGTTTGAAATCTGGGTGGAACATAAGACTTTAGGTCTTTTGAGTTTCGATAACGTTGATAACTGTTTTTACGCGATGAGTTTGCAAGACTCCCACCCAACTTCCCCTCGCTTATTATTGATCTTACTACCGGCTAGGGGATGTATGGGGGTGTGTCGGCTGAGAATCGAATCCGGACCTCTTTTATGGTTGACAAGTATTCTACTATTGAACCACTGACACACAAGTGTAATTACTGCATTAGGTGAGAATTTAGTATTTCATTCACAAAGGTGAATTACAATGAGAATTAAATGCCGGTTATCTTTTCACTGTCTGATAATTGAATATTAGAAATTAGAAAATTAGAAAAGTATTATTACTGAATGAACAGTAAAGGAAGTGTTTCATTGGTTTAAGCATTCAACACCCACTCCACCAACTTCACTCTGTGGAAACCTCACACAATAAGTTTGGCTCATAGACACTGATACATGAGAAATTTGTTGAGTTTGAAGTGAGTTCTAGCATTGACTAAGCAAGATGTCCAAAGTTTCCTCGGAATGTAGGGGTATATTCATAATGTTTCTCTGTTTTTGTTAATGTCCTAAATTTGTTTCTAGTACTGAATAGTTGTTGTTGTTGTTGTATGACGTGATTCCAATTGGATTGTTCCAATGTACAAATCAGTTATGTTTTGATTGGCTCCGGTTTACTTAATTTCATATTTCTATGCGATAATCATGATAATAATGACAGTAATAATGAGAATACTTTCTTGGTAATAAACACTTGTTGTAACTAATTGTGTTGTACTTCTCTATCCTTTGATTTTGCATAAATTAATAGCTATTAATTAGCATTTATGTATGCGCCTTAATTAGATTTTATTCAGAGGTAAGCGCATACAACAATATAATGCATAGTGTGTGTATTGTATTATAAAGTTTACTATCTAAATGAAGCAATCTAGTGCCCATTGAACATTGGCATAAAATCATACTAATAAACAAATAATATAAAATAATTAAAGAGAAAAAAGTCAATTATAACTCTTTTAAGCCTTTAGGCGAATTTATCTTATTATTAGGTAAATGAAACGAAACACAGCCTGCTTATATTGAGCTGCATCACTTCACTCACTCAGTCACTACGACTATGTTGAAGAGTGGGGGAAAGGTGGGGCAAAAAAGAAAGATTCGATCAGATAGATCACTAACTTAGACCGAATTTTCAACGCAGGTCTTTGCAAAAATGTGTAGCAATTCTACTATTCACACTTCATAAAAGCACACATTCAGGTAGTGAGAAAAAAGTGTTGTTACCTTTAAAGATTTAAAAATGATCGCATAAAAAGAAGACGATTTGGTAAAAGAAATTGAAAACAATCAACTTATAGTTTTAGCATTATAGTATCATTTTATCCCCACTTGTTTCCATTTCGAGTGGAACATG